GAGGAGCTGGGCAGAGGCTCGCTCGTGGGGCCGCTGGCGCGGGACCTGGGGCTCAGCGCGGACGAGCTGCCGGCGCGCAAGCTGCGGCTGAGCGAGGAGAAGCAATACTTCACGGTGAATGAGGAGAACGGCAACCTGTACGTGAACGAGAGGCTGGACCGGGAGGAGATGTGCGGCGAGTCGGCGTCCTGCTCTGTCAGCTTCGAGGTGGTGGTTCACAACCCTCTGAACGTTTTCCGCGTGCAAGTGGACATCCAGGACGTGAATGACAACGCGCCGCGATTTCTTAAGGAAAATATCCACTTTGAAATCAATGAGTTGACATCTCCCGGTGCTCGATTCGCCGTGGGCGTGGCCGAGGACGCAGACGTGGGCAGTAACTCACTGCAGGGCTACGAGCTGGAGGCCAACGGGTACTTCGCGGTGGAGGTGAAGGAGAGCCAGGACGGCAGCAAGTTTGCGGAGCTGGTTCTGCGACGTGCGCTGGATCGAGAGAGCGAGCCCAGCCTGCGTCTGCTGCTGACGGCGCTGGATGGCGGAGACCCGCCCCGGACTGGCACCGCCCAGCTCTGGATCAACGTCACCGATGCAAATGACAACCCTCCTGTGTTCGCGCAGGATCGGTACCGGGTCAGCCTGCGAGAGGACACTCCTCCGGGATTCGCGGTGCTGAACGTCTCTGCCTCCGATGCTGACGCCGGCACAAATGCCCACATCACCTACGGCTTCGGGAAAATGCCGGCCAAGGTACTTCAGAAATTCGTGCTGGATGCAGAGAGCGGGTCTATCATGCTGCAGGATGAGATGGATTTTGAGGATACGCGAGGTTACATGTTGCTGGTGGAGGCGAGGGACGGAGGGGGTTTGGTAGCGCACTGCAAGGTGGAGGTGGAGGTGCTGGACGTGAACGACAACGCGCCCGAGATCACCATTCTATCCCTGTCGAGCCCGGTGCCCGAAGATTCTCCAGCTGGTACCGTGGTGGCCGTGCTGAAAGTGCGGGACAGAGACTCCGGCGAGAACGGTCAGGTGTCGTGCGAGCTGTCGGGGGAGGCGGCGCTGTCGCTGGTGGCGTCGTCGGGCGGCTCGTACAAGGTGGTGACGGCGAGCGCGCTGGACCGCGAGCAGGCGTCGGAGCAGCGCGTGACGGTGGTGGCCCGGGACCGGGGCAGGCCGTCGCTGTGGAGCAGCAGGGAGCTGGTGCTGGAGGTGTCGGACGTGAACGACAACGCGCCGGTGTTCGAGGAGGCGGCGTACAGCGCGTACGTGGCGGAGAACAACGCGGCGGGCGCGCTGGTGCTGCGCGTGCAGGCGCGGGACGCGGACGCGGGCGCCAACGGGCGCGTGAGCTACTGGCTGGCGGGCGGCAGCGCGGGCGCGGCGGGCGCGGCGCCGCTGGTGTCGGTGGAGGCGCGGAGCGGCGCGCTGTACGCGCAGCGCTCCTTCGACTACGAGCAGTGCCGCGAGTTCGCGGTGGCCGTGCGGGCGCAGGACGGCGGCGCGCCGGCGCGCAGCTCCACGGCCACGGTGCGCGTCTTCGTGCTGGACCGCAACGACAACGCGCCGCGGGTGCTCTGGCCGGCGGCGGCGGCGGCAGCGGGAGAGGCGGCGGCGGGAGGGGCGGCGTCTCCGTTCGAGGTGGTGCCGCGCTCGGCCGAGGCCGGCTACCTGGTGGCCAAGGTGGTGGCGGTGGACGCGGACGCGGGGCGCAACGCGTGGCTGTCGTACGAGCTGGTGCAGGCGTCGGAGCCGGCGCTGTTCCGCGTGGGGCTGCACAGCGGCGAGGTGCGCACGGCGCGCGCCGTGTCCGAGCGGGACGCGGCCAAGCAGCGTGTGGTGGCCGTGGTGAAGGACCACGGGCAGCCGGCGCTGTCGGCCACGGCCACGCTGCACATGGTGCTGGCCGAGAGCTTGCAGGAGGCGCTGCCGGAGCTCACAGACAGAGAAGCCGTGTCCGAGCTGACTTCTGATCTGAACCTCATTCTTGTTGTGTCGCTCTCCGTCGTGTCCTTATTATTTGTTTCCACGGTCGGGTTTTTTTTCTTCTTTAAATGTCGACAGTCGAGGAGCCCTCCCATTTTTATAACTTCTGATAAGGAACTGTATTCCACCTTGGGCTCAAAAGCACCATACAACTACTGCAGCAGCACGCTGCCCTTGCCCTATTCCTACGAGGTGTGTTTAGCCTCCGAGTCGGGGCAGAAGGACTTCACGTTCCTGAGGCCAGGAGCGGCAGCCTTGTCTACCCGTCTCCTATCGGCTGATCCCGGCTCAGGCACTCCTTCTGGGAAGGACCCTCCTAGCTCCGGGAGCTCGGCTCAGGTGAGCCTCTGTCCTACGGTCCCTCTGCGTGAGTTTTTGTTAATCTTTTTCTCCTCTGTTCTGCCGTCGGTGATCAGTGGGAACCGGCAGATCTGAACATGCCGGCGCACTGCTCAGTAGCTCAGGGTCGTGGGAATGTGAGCGATTGGGTGTATATGTCAGATCTTGACTCATCCTTTTGACCTGCCAGTTCTTATCCGGAAATTGCTAATTTTCCCCGAGGAGCGACGCCAATGTTGTCAGTATTTCTGTCTGTCTTGGAGAAGGAGAGACAGATTCTAGTTTCACCGAACTGGAGTGGTGAGGTGGACTCGGGTGGAGTGGGAACAAAAGTGTCGTGGGGTCTGAAGCTGAGACAACCCTTTTGGCTTGGTCTAGAGACCACTTATTGTCTCAGCCACATTTGGGCGCTTTCATATGATAATGATGTGTGAACTACCCCGGCGTGTTTACTCAGTGGGGGCAGCCACGCTGTTCCTCTCTCCTTTTCTGGCAACCTCGATTCTTTAGCACTCTGAACCCCTTCAAGAGAAGGTTTTGTATACACCCGTAACTCAACTTCTTCCCTCAGTCTGTAGAGCTGGAGCTGATGCTTCAGTGTAACTCCAAGCCTGGCATCGAGCAGAAGGAGCTTTTTGTTCCCTGCTGCCACCGGCTTCTGTGGAACCTCAGTGGAGTCGAGAAAAATGCCCAAGTGAGCGGTTCAGGCTGGGATTTGGCTTGAAACCGTCCCCGAAGGAATTCCTGGTGCAGGGGAAGGCGTCTTCCCCCTTAGCTGTTGTGCTTTCCCACTCGTCTGTAATATTCAGGCTTCCCATCGAGGTGGAGAAGACGTAATGTCTCCACATGAGTCGAAACACGGTAGATGGAACTGTTCTGTCTTCCGTGCCTTTCCCGAGATCTCTTTTCTACTCATCTCTGCTGCTTGGCCATCCCGCTACTGCTGGCATTAAACGGCCAAGGTGCTCTGGTACAGGTGGTGTGTGCACTCACAGGTAGGGAAATTACTCGAGAGCTGCGGTCCCCATGTTCCAGAAATTGTCTGGTAAATGGCGTGTAGGAAAAACCTGAAATGGGCAGTGACGGGAAAAAGAAGTCAGAGCTTACAGTGGTTGGGAAAAGGAGTTTATTTTAGAGAAATAAGTAGCTTTCAATAAGACTATTTGAAGATTTGGGTTGAAGAGAACTGTGGATTGTCTTGGTTTTCGATAATACGTAAGAAAGAAAAAAAGAAAGAAAATTTGGGCTTGGTTTTCTATGAGAAAAGAAGTGCTTTGGGAACGTTAGATGACTAATACAGGATTTTATCTGTGTGTAACCCTATCACATGTGAACGCTATGTGAACTTTTATGGCATTCTGTGGACAGGTGATGAGCGATAAATAACTCTGATAAAGTTTATCTTTTGGCAACGATTAATCAGGAGAAAAGGAAATAACTGAGCATGTAGATAGGACAGATTGCGCCGACCCTTTCGATATTGCCGACTATATGTAAGCGCAGAAATTCATCATCTCAGGTTGGATCCCATGTGCTCACGGCAGCTTTTAGGATTGTGCGGGGCGAGGACACGCCGAGGTCGAGATCCTCTCGGCTCTGGCGAATGTCGCTGTCCAGCGCTGATGCGGGTGGTTTGCAACCCCTACGAGCTCAATTAGAGGGGTAACAAATAACCCGCAAGTTTCCGAGCCAGTTCTGCGAGGCTTTGAGAGCCTCCGTAAGTGAATGAACGCGTGAGCGCTGATTTCCAGTCCGGTTTTTGCCGGATGTCGCCGTCCCTTCCTTACCAGCGTCGGCTGTGGGATGACACCTGGGCGCTGTGTCACAGCTGGGTTTTCACAGGGTTCCTGGCGCTCCCTTATCAAGCTTCCTCGTCCCCTTTTCATTACCCGTGACAGCCGAGCAGTTCTGGGGGTGACAGACAACAAATGCCGAAATTTTGGTCATTTTATCCTTATGCGCGCGTGGAAAGTCGGAAAACCCGACGTAGCACGAGTTGTTGATGACAGCAACAATAACCCAAGGCAGGTTTTCGACCAGGCACTGCCAGGCTGTTGCTGCTCGGGAATGGGATCCGTTCCCACCCCGGTGAGCCTGCACCGCAGGTCGCAGAGCGTGATTTCCCTGAGTTAACCTGATGAAAAAAGTACCAGGGAGCAACCCGGGAGATGGCGAGAGTAGGAGGGCGTATTAAACCGAGATTTCTGAGGTTTGTCGGGGAAGACACCTGCTGGGATAGTGGTGGCAGTGGTGATCCCGCAGGAGGGGAGATGCTCTGGAAATCCTGCGGCGGGAGCCGCCTCGCGGCGAGACTCCGTGTTGCGGCCGGAGAAGCTGCTCAGAACTCGGCAGCACGAAATCAGGGTCGCTTTGCCGGCCACCCTGCTTTGGTGGCACACTGAGCAGCGACATCAGGACTTCTTGAAAGGGGCTTCCTCCCAGGAAGGGGCTGGCCAAGCATTTGGGTGGGAGGACCAGCATCTTGGAGGTCCTGAGACACACTGGGAGCTGATGCGTCGTGCTGGCTCTCCCTGGCACCCTGCGTACCCCGAAGGACCCTCCCTACTCATCCTCCCTCCCTCTCCATTTCCCCTTCTTACTCCCGCTGCCTCATTCCAGCGAGGTCTTCCCGGGACACGCACCCCAAACACTCCACGTCTCCGTATCGCCCCTTTTGGCGTCACGCTGCCAACTTTTACACCTTCCTGCCCGCACACGCGATCCCTGTGTCCGATCTACCCTGCCCCTGCCAGCGCTCTCCCCCGCCCGGCTGGGGTTTCTCGCAGGGCTGTGTTCTCCCTTCAGGCTCTGCCCGCTCCATCCCCGCTGTCCTCGAGCGGAGGTGGCCGCGCTCCCTCCGGCGGGGCTCGGCGGCGGCGGGGCTCGGCGCCCTGCGCTCTGTGCAGTTATTGGACGGGACTCTGTGTGCCGCTGTCGGCCAATGATGGAGCGGGGGGGAACTGGCGGCCCGGCCCCGCTCGGAGCAGGGATGAGGCGCAGACGGTCTCAGAGAGACTGGGAGTGAGTCACCGCCGAGCCCGCCGAGCAATGCCCGGCTCCCCGCCGCCGCCGCCGCTTCCCGGGGCCGCTGGGCAGCGGCATGAGGGGGCGAGCTGAGAGTTTCTAGCCGGGGCGGGGGGGCGAAGCGGAGAGCGCGGCCGTCCTGTGCGATGAACGGCGCTGCTGTAAGGAGCCGCGGCGTGACGACGGGGCAGGTACTGAGCCTCTTGCTTTTGTTCGGCGTTTCCGACTGGGTTTCCGCCGCGATTCGCTATGCGATCCCCGAGGAGGCGCGGAGAGGCTCCGCGGTGGGGAATGTGGTAGCCGACCTGGCGCTGGACCTCGGGCAGCTGCCGGGACGCCGGTTGCGGGTGGTGTCCGGCGGCAATAAGAAGTACTTCGGGGTGGATCTGACGAGCGGGGCGCTGCTGGTGAACGAGAGGATAGACCGGGAGGAGCTTTGTGGCGCGCTCTCCCCCTGCTCCCTCAGCTTTGAGATCGTGGTGGAAAACCCGCTCGAGCTGTACAGCGGCACCGTAGAGATCCAGGACATCAATGACAACGACCCGGTTTTTCCCAGCAGCCAGGCGAGGCTGGAAATCAGTGAGTCAGTGGCTGCCGGAGCGCGCTTCCCGCTAGAGAGCGCGCAAGATCCCGATGTGGGAATTAACTCTTTGCAGACCTACCAGCTCAGCGCCAACCCGAACTTTGCGCTCGACGTGCAGACCAGGGTTGATGGCAGCAAGTACGCGGAACTGGTGTTAGAGAAGGAGCTGGACAGGGAGGAGCAAAGGGAGCTGAATTTGGTCTTGACTGCGCTGGATGGAGGCAGCCCGCCACGGTCGGCCCACGTGCAGATCCACATTGATGTTGTAGATGCCAACGATAATGCCCCGGTCTTCAACCAGTCTACCTATAAGGCAAGTGTGAGGGAGAACACGCCCAGCGGTACCCTGGTCGCCAGGATCAGTGCATACGATCTGGATGATGGGGCCAATGGAGACATTGTCTACTCCTTCAGCAGCCACACCCCCGCCAAGGTACGAGAACTCTTTGCTCTGGACTCAGCCACAGGGGAGTTGAGGGTCAAGGGACAGCTGGACTACGAGGAAACAAAGTTGTACGAGATTTACTTACAGGCTAAAGACAAGGGGGCTGTTCCTGGTGTGGCTCATTGCAAAGTGCTGGTGGAAGTCGTGGATGTGAATGACAATGCTCCAGAGGTGACAGTGACTTCTGTGTACAGCCCTGTGCCTGAAGATGCAGCCCCAGGGACGGTTGTAGCTCTGCTGAGTGTAACAGACTTGGACTCCCATGACAACGGCCTGGTGAACTGCTTTATTTCCCCTGGGATCCCGTTCATGCTCAGCTCCTCCCTCAAAAATTACTACACTCTGAAAACAGAAGGAGCTCTGGACCGGGAAAAGGCAGCAGAGTATAACATCACTATCACAGCCAAGGACTCGGGCTCACCACCCTTGTCTGCAGTAAAACACATCCTGGTGCAGGTGTCAGATGTCAATGACAACGCGCCCAAGCCGTCCCAAGACTCCTATGACGTCTATGTTCTGGAGAACAACGTGCCCGGCATCCCCATCCTTAACGTGAGCGCCACAGATCCGGACCTCGGGCGCAACGCCCACCTCTCCTATACCCTTTTACAGGGTGACATCGCTTTTGGCCATCTCTTCTCCATCAACCGGGAGAATGGCACCATCTACCTGCTCACCTCCCTGGACCATGAGGACCAGGTGGAGTTCAGCATGATGGTGCAGGTCCAGGACGGTGGCTTTCTGCCTCTGGCCACTAATGTGTCGGTCAGTGTGTTTGTCACTGACCTCAATGACAATGCCCCAATGGTGCTGTACCCTCACCCCAACAGCACCACCACCTACACTGATGTGGTGGCACCAGGCACTCCTGCCGGGCACATGGTCACCAAGGTGGTGGCGGTGGATGCGGATGCAGGGTACAATGCCTGGATCTCCTATACCCTGTTACAGGCCACTGACCCCAGCCTCTTCTCGGTGGGGCTGCACAACGGGGAGATCTTCACAGCCCGCCAGCTCCGCGAGGATGATGCTCCCGAGCACACCTTAGTCATCCTGCTGAAAGACCATGGGGAGCCTGTGCTGTCCACCAGTGCCACCATCTCCATCTCTGTGGCTGAGATGGTCAAGGAGGTGCTCACTGACCTCACTGATGTGGCCCCTGACAGTGATCCCAGGAGACATGTGACTTTCTATCTCATCCTGGCTGTGATTTTGGTGTCAGCAGCCTTCTTCATCACCATGTTGTCCGTGGGCATCTTCAAGTGCTACAAGTGGAGGCAGTCGAAGGAGCTGTACAACAGCTCCAGGAATACCATGTACAGGACACCAGGGCCCTTCCACCACATCGATGCCGTGCGGGGTGGCTTCACGCCACCCAGCTTCTACCACCAGGTCTATCTCACCACAGACTCTCGCCAGAGTGATCTCCTGTGTAAAAAACCCTTCACTTCCAGCCCCTTGGGGAGCTGCCAGGGCACCATAAGGAATGGTGAGCCAGGGCTGTACCACCAGATTGTGGGCACCACCAGCCGGCTCCCCACACCTGCCGAGGTAATGTAGCTTCTTCCTTGGAGTGTCCCAGCTGGGCAGAGCCGCGGTTCATTTGTGCCATACGCGTGTGGTTGCGTGTTGGGGTTGGGAGCGATATCCAGTTGTGCCAGGCCTCTAAAGAGTTCTGCTACACCTGAACAGGTGTTCTCTGGAGCCAAATGAGACATCCTGAGGGCTGATGACTTTTGCACTGTGATGAGCAAGATCAAGTGAGTCAGTTTGTACATGTTGGCGATGATGCATCTTTTGGACATAGTTTTGGGTACGCCTTGCTTGAGTAACCAGTGGAGGCTGAGGTCAGCTTGAAACCACTTGTTAATCCTTGGCACAAAGTTTGTTGTTGATGGTATTTCCTTCCCTTTGCAAAAGGAGAGCCAAGGGGAGCACTTGCTCTGCGGGGGGAGTGTAATCTCTGTGTGCCGTGACTCGGTGGGGGCTGGAGAGGTGGCGCTGCAGATGGGGCAGGGAGCTGGGGATCGGCGTGTCGCCTCTCACGGCGCAGCACCCAAAGCTGAAGGATGGTGCTGGTTCCACAGACAGTGGTCGCAGAGCAGTCCTTCCATGTTTGACTCCTGAATGGTTCTGGTTTTATTTCCATGCAATTTCAGTGCTGATGTTCGCTTTGCGGGGGTGGGTGGGATTGCAGACTGCCCCAGTTGCTTGCAGGGCTCCGCAGGGCTGGACTTTGGCTCTGAGCAGGGTGGTGAGTCCTCCACTCTGATGTTCAGAAACCCTGTTACAAGCTCTGCATGCTTTGCAATATGCTGTCTCTGGGTGATGTCTGATGTCCTGACAGAACAAACTGCAGGCTGGAAGGCGTTTGCGCATGGCAGCAGCTTCTGTGCTTCTCTCCCGATGGGAATTGTGCTGCTTAATTTGAAAGCTTTCAATTAAAGGAATGCTTCAATCTTCAGAGGTTGGGCCAGGTAGTGGATCCAGTGGAGGGGGAGTTTGGATCTGGTGGATTTCCAAGGTCGTTGGTGCTGGTAATTTGTCCTTCCTGGGAGGCAGTGGGTAGGAGTGACTGGTTCCTCAGAGCAGAAGGAAGTGAGGTGCAGCGGAAGCTGTTCATGGGTGTGAGGCTGCAAGTGATGCCTGCTCAGTGTGGCCAAATCACAGATGGAGGCAGAAACCTCTCAGAATTATTTTATGCCTTTTTTTTTTCCCCTGCTTGCATCACTGCTCAGACTCAGCACTTCTGATTTGTGGCAGGTGAGAAGGGCTGCAGCAGCTGCGGGAGCAAGTGCTCCTCTGCATGGTGTGGGCTGTGCTATGGCTGGGGACAAGGATGTCCCTTCCACCAAAACGTCCTGAAAAGATGCCTCTGGTAGTGAGGGCAATAAATTATTTGAGAGTGGGGGTGGAAGGAGGGCAGCAAGCCTGAGCCTTAGCCATGATTGCCTCCTACTCCCCAGTACTGTGCTGGAAAGGCACTGACAGTGAGAAATCACCTGGGCTGGCTCTGGGCTCTGGATTTTCGGTCTTTGTGGTGACAACAGACCGTGTCAAGCCTGCAAAGGCTTTACACCTCCTTGCTCTGCAGGGCACAGCCAGCCCCCAAAAGTGATGCAGTGGGAAGGGTGTTGGCTCTGTGATGAGTCCTGCCATGAAGGATCCTACCCTGCAGGATCTCCAGTGATCCCTGGGTTGTCTGGCTTGGTGTCTTTCCACAGGGTGAGCTCTGACCCTGTGGAATAAAGAACATCTCCTTCTCCATCCTAGACACCCCATACCCTTCCCACCTTGTCACACCGTCCCCATCCCAGGCTTTGGTAGACCTGAGCAGCAGCAGGAGCCGCCCTGTAAAGCCCTTGCTCCGGGTCCTTGGTGACCGAGCCACCTCAGGACACTGAGTGGGCTCTCCCAGGCTACCTGGGCTTTGCAGAGGGCTTCTGCTGAGGCACTGCAGCAGCACCAAACCCATCCCCAGGGGTGCAGCACCCTGTATTGCCAGTGGAAAGCTCTGTCACCCTGCTGTACTGTCCTGGACCCTGCCTGGGATGGGGACAGGGCACATTCCAGTGCCAAGGTTACTGTGACAGCTTCCTGCTGGTGGCACCGCCAGGAGCCCTGGGGGAATGAGAATGTCCGAGCAGGAATTGGTCTCTGTGCGCTGGGGAATCCCTTGTCCAGTGTTTTTCTGCATTGTCTCTTTAAGGACACCTTCTCCCCTTCTCCGGAGCCGGCAGTAGGTGGGGCCCGGGCAATGTTCTCGCCATTCATAAGGTTCTTCCCGGTGTCTCTCCCTGACTGGCAGCAGACTGGTCCCGCCTCACGGCTCTCGGAATAGGCAGGGAGGTGCTGCAGACGGGAGGGAGGACCCTCGACTGCAGCACCTTCACTGTCCCTGTCCTCGCCAGAAAGATGCTGTCCCTTATCACCGTCCGCCGTGCCGGGCACGGGTGCCCTCAGCCTCTCTCACCTATTCCCCAGGTTCCCAGTGGTGCCCAGGTGGTGGGGACAGGCAGGATCTCAGGCAGGCACTGGGTCCCCTGTCTGCCACACCACTGCAGACCCCAGCCCCCAGGGTCTGCGTGCACCCGAGGGAGGGTCAGGGTGGCCTTCAGTGCACCAAGGACAAAGACAGAAAGGTATTTTTACAGAAGCATGTAGTGACAGGACATGAGGGAATGGTTTTGAACTGACAGAAGGTTTAGATTAGATAACAGGTATAAAAATTCTTCCCTGTGAGGGTGGTGAGGCACTGGTACAGGTTGCCCAGAAAAGCTGTGACTGCCGCATCCCTGGAAGTGTTCAAGGCTGGGCTGGATTGATCTCTGAGCAGCCTGGTGTAGTGGAAGGTGTCTCTGCCCACGGCAGGAGGTCAAAATGAGATGATCTATAAGGTCCCTTCCAGCCCAGGCTGTTCTGTGACTCTGTGACTGTGCATGGCTTCTGCAGGGATGTGAACTGAAATAAAAACCTACAGCTTGCCAACATCATGTGGGACAGGGAGAGCAGGAAAATGCTGCCTGCCCCCCCGCCCCCCCCCCCCCCC